AGCATGTCTACGCCTTGAAGGTGGGCCAAGGGCAGCGAGCGCTGTTAAGCCCCTATAGCGATAGGTTAGTGGCAGCGTTTAACCCAAAATATACCGTCCTTGCAATTTATACCACTCTAGCGATCTAATTACCAATGAATGAATGATTGGAGCAGTCACAAAACTTAAATGACACGTAGCAATGAAAAACTTCGATGCTATTTAAAAGAAATGTGTCTAGTCTTCGGTTTTGAAAGACACCTCTGCAGGTATTTTCACCAAACTATTCACATTGGAAGTAATGGAAATCCCATTTGAAGCTTCTAACAATGATGATTCAAAGTTATTTTTCTCATCTATGGCATCGATGGCTGCATGCGTTGTACGTGTGCGCAGCTGTTCTAGGGGAAAATTGAACCAATCAACGGGACGGAAAAGACCAATAAGCGTGACAAGTAATGGCGCATGTGAAACGAACGAAAACCACACGAAAATCGTGCTCTCATGGCCTACTAATCATAGACCGAGTGACTTCTTCCAAGCTCTGGTGCCAAGTTTCTTCACTTCGCCGGCGGCAAATATCACATAGCATTCCAGTGACGGGAAAAATGACAACGCGTGTTCCCCTTTTTGAAGAAAAGACGCGACTGCGTTAAATAGAACGGCCTTACATTACCGTGATCCGAACAAATGCTAAGGTGCATTATCTCATTTATTTTGACAGACAATACGCTGCCAAGTGTGAGGTCTTATTCAGCATCAATTGTATAAACTGGAGCTGCACGTGGTCAGCTGTGGGGTGAGCGCTTGTGAGAACGAGACGTGCACTGGTGAGACGAAGATACATGTAAATCACGAAGGGATGAAAAGCTTATTTAAAAATTTGACGCGTTGCAGCTAATAGAATGTCACAGCTGGCTCCTGTCCGTTTTTTTGTTGTTGTTTATCTCTGCGAGTGAAAATCTATGTATTTGCAACTGGGACAATAGAATGCTGTAAAAGTTTCATTCCAGGTGTCAACCTTCGAAACATGATAGGGCACAGTGTTGTCGAACACTACATGCATAAATGTGCCACCACTTTAAGTTGAGTTCACGTGATGCTCTTTTCTGAACCTTTGTGAACATGTGCCTAATGCCTAGTTCGTAAACCTTTACAAATATAAATACTGGACTACACTTTCAGTGAGGAATGACAGACCTTACTGCGTGCTTCCGATCTGCAAAGTGTGTCCTACAATTTGCTTAATTTTTATATGCAACATGTCTGTTCTATTTAAGTCAATGTGACTGTCGTTCGATTATACAGGCCTCTATTATCTTATCAATTTCGCAGATTGCTGTCACGAGATCCTAGCATCATGCGATGTTTGGGCTTATTTCAAATGCTCTTGTTTCAAATGGAAGTTGCACATTACGCTTAAAACGTGCCATGGTTTCAACTTAAATACGCATACACTTATGAAAACATCTCCCATTGCACTCAAGTCTACAGTTTATGAACTTTTCATACTTTTCAAAAGTGGCTAAGACTGGCAGTGAGTGACTGCCAGTGACCTTGAATTGCATGGTACCTTGGAAACTTTCCAACGGCATGCTTCCACACGGTTGACTTCTGTAAATTGCATTGTATTTGGGTCCTGGAACATGGGTCTGGGAAACCTATGGAACAATTAAAAGTGTTATGCCATCGCCAAATTTCAAATGTGACTTAGTTGCAGCCTTATTTTCATCAAATGTACAAAGTAGAGCAGGTTGGACATGAAAGCTCCTATTGTCATTCTGACCACCATTATTGGATCTAGACCCACCACCTCATACACCTTGCGCCTTATCCAGACATAAGCTGCAACGGGCATTAATCATCAGCGCAGTTATTTGCATGATGCAGAGGTCAGCAGGTATGTTGGTGCTTTTCTGATGTACACATGGGTACTAATAGCATATTTCGTCCCCAATTTCTGCCTTTTTGTCGTCACCATTGCAGGTGACAAGCTATGAGCGCACAACTCATCTCTACACGTGATTATTATGCTTCAGTCAAAACAGGTGAGAACATCAGTGACGATGCCAAAAACATGTCAGATGCGGTGTTACGATCACCACACTGAGATTTGCGCACATACATTTCACCGTAGCTCGAATGGCATGAAAACCTTCGGAAACATAAACGTCCAGCACTGCTTGATGTAAAAACTGCTGTAATATCCTGCACATGACGAGCTTGTGCAAACATTATTAGAGAAACATTCTGGAAATGAAGCCAAGAGAAATGTTCCAAAACCTTGGGTAAAAGGTAAGAAGCCTAGCACTACCAGCAGTATAAAGTTTCCTGCAATCACTGGCAACAAAGCTAGATTGCCTTAATTGTCTTAAAATGATTCGACTTCGCATTCTTGCTGATTCATGTTGTCCGAAAACACCACGAAGAACATGGAAGAGAGCTGAAATGGCTTTCAAATTTCTATCATCACTCCCTCAAAAGAATAAGCTTCATCAGCATTGCTTGCTCAGCTCGCTGTCATGTCATAGACAGCACACAATGTGATCTGGGGCTGTCCCAAGAAGGAACAAAAAGCCTTGTTGCCATTATCGTGCGGGCAGGTTCCTAAGGTACTTGAAGCATCTCACAATATCTAGTACACTGACTAACGAAACAAAAAAGGACCTAAATGTGTGGTATGATCACTGGGCGCCACGATCTTGCACGGTCAGATGGCTTCTAGATGAAGCAGGAACTGCTGGTAACTTCGAAAAGCTAGCAAGAAATATTGCTGTTGTTCGTCTCGTACTGTGCGAATTAGCTAGCTGCAACTATCAGTACCGCGTGATGGATGAATCAGTTACTCTGCCCCCAAAATCTTGTTGGGTCCTGTGGAACCAGTTGCCTCTGCTTGCCGACCCGAGAGCAACATTTTACACGCAAAAGCAAACAACTCAGAACTCATAGCCTACTACATCGAGCGCTGTGAAACCCTCACCATATCACCATGGTGATGGGCCGTACCTGATTCCATTTAGCAATTGAAAATTCGGTGACCCTCAGCCGGGTCAAAAGTGGTCAAATTACACTAATTCCCAAATCCTTGCACGCAGACAACTCATTTCTCAGAACGCAAAGAACCAACCGCAGCGAAATCTTCAACATTGGATGCGCAGTATGTTATTCCATCTTACAGCGGAAGATTCGGTGACCCCAGGCCAGGTCAAAAGTCGTCACATTTCACAAATTTCAAAATCCTTGCCTGTAGCAAGCTCATCCAGAAAGCATTCCTCCGATCCTCTCTAAACTCTGACCACTCGGTGGGACAGACCTAGAAATTGCAATGATACCATAAAACCGTACGCTATGGTCTTCGTTTTTTTGAAGTGCCGAAGCGCGCGAGCGTTTTTTTTTGGGGGGGGGGTCGTACACATTACGGCAATAACATTTCTACATATGTTGTGCGCAAATGCAAGGGCGTCATCTTCTTTTTGGTAACCGAAGACAAGCAAAGTACACTAAACTAGAACAGCTTTTTTGCAATGCTATTTAATTGATGGCATCACTTTCATCACCCTGATAGTTTGCCTTGGCTCTGCGTGCCGTAGTCCGATGTCGTTGAATATCCTTCATGTGTGGAGCACATGCGTCAAAACTACCGTTATAACCAACGCTCGACTTCTGAAAAGAAGGTTTGTGAAGAAAAAGTCCGGCTGATCAGGAAGTTTTATGGTCAGCAAAATCTGAAATCTTTACATAATTAGCCACTAGGTCTATCCGCATTAAGTTGTTTGTGCAGTTTTCGAATTGTGTTACCTGGGAAGCAATTTTTAGTTTTGATGTATGCATACAAACTCCAGAAAACGTGACGCCAAGTTCAGTTTTTGGGGTCAAATTGGGCATTGAGGGGGTGCGGTTTTGACCGACCCAAAACACAAACCGACACTCGCCGTGACACAAAAAGTTTCCACGCCTGCAGGGTATAAGCTTCTGTTCAACACAACGTGTTAATCCCCGTACCTTTGAAGAAAGCCAGATAATAGTATCATTGCGAAATGAGCCTATCTTATTTTCTTCACCGCTGAATACCCAAAAGCATACATTTTATTTAAGCAGGACTCAGAACCAAAACAAGATAATTGCAAACTAGGTCAGTTTCAAAGCTTACAGCTTCACGAATAGTGACAAGATTTCGTACTGTTTGGCTGACAAAACGTATTCTCGTCCCTACGTTTTCGTAACTTAAATGGATTTTTGGTAATTTGACCCATGGACCCGTCGCGGTAGCCGGAGCAGGTAACCATCTTTCTCTGTCTCTGACTGTCTTTATTTCGAAACAGTAACCGACCGTTAAGGCGTGGGTTCGAAAAACTGTGTTAGAGGTGATGAATTCCTGCACTTTTCGCGTCCTGCCTCATGCGCCCATTCCGCTTTACGGGCCAAGCATGTGCACTATTGCTGACCTAGTATTTGTCCATAGTAGACGGCCCCGACTGACAGACGAGTGATAGACAGCTGTGGATGACATCTAGCAGATGTCGTCCGTACTACTATTTCGTACATCCGACACCAAGTTAAAAAAATAACACATTCAGGGCCGTCACCACTTCACAAATACTTTTAAAGGCCCGAGTACCTCCCCCCCCCCCCCTCCCCCCCCTACCATTGCTGACTTAAGCCCCGAACGTTTCTCAGAGCCTTCTCAATAAACGTTGCCATAAAATGGAAACTGGACGAGGGGAGTGCAGAAAAGTCACCTGAAATACTGCACACTTATTACCTGAAATATCACTAATGCTTCACTTCCCCTGATATAACGAAGTCTACATACTAACTCATAACATGACATCATAACGCCGAAACACCACGAGCTGAAGTCCTTCGTGGTTACATAACTTCCACCACG